ACTAGGGTTGTGTGTTATTTCTGAAACACTGACCTGTCTTCCATCCAGAGAAATGGACCAGGTTTTCTTGAGCATGCTCTTTCTCCTCGCAAAGTCCATTATCTGATAAAACAATCAGGGGGATCAAAAAGAAAAAGGGAAAAAAAGAAACGGAAGCTCGTTAGCAATGAGGGGACTGAAATCCAGGACAAGGGATGCTGGACCCGGTTAACCACAACCGGGGTTAAGGTGGATTATCACAGTTAGGCGATTCCGCAGACTGTTGAGGGTTCAGCCTCCTGATGAGTCAGTGAAGCTCCGACAAAACAGTTTGTCACAACCCCTCGTTTGTTGTCTTCTTCTCCCTCTCTGCCCACGGTTTACTGGGCCGCTCTGTTTTGCAATATGAAACTCCGACGAAACAGTTTGTCACAGCCCCTCGTTTGTTGTCCTCTTCTCTCTCTCTGCCTACGGTTTTACCGGGCAGTTCTGTTTGTGACAATATATAATAAAAGTTATAAAACTACACTTTTACCAAAAAAAAAAAAAAGAAGACAAAAGGTTTTTGAGCTGAGCTAAATGGCAGTGATGCGGATTCCTAAACCACTGGTATGTTTCCCAGCCATTTTTCTCCAAGGCAGTGTGCAAGCAGAGTGCATGTGGCTGCAAGTTTCCAGTCGGCCTACTTGAGCAAAATGACTGGTGGTGGGGGCCGAAAGAAGGCCCACGCCATTGCGTTTTTTGTTTTCTGTGGAGTGCGTCTCTAGAATCAGCATGGGAAGGGTCAAAAGTACTGGTGGTTCAAACCACCAGCACACAGCCATATATCAGCCGTGGGCCCCTCACTGGGAGTCTCGGAGGCCCGAAACGTGACGGTGACCATTGGTGAAATTTATCAATGGCGCGGCATCCCCTAGCTTTTCGGAGTAGGCAATGAGTTTCCTTTTTGCAAAGTTGGGGTCGCGTAGTAGCGATTTAAGACACCACCAGCCAGGAGGCCTGTACCCACGCGTGGCATACATCAGCCTCCTAATGCTGAACTGCCAGTGGTTCCCTTCCTGTTTTTCCCAATGTGGCGTTTGGCTGGACCATCGTGGCGCACGATTTGCCTTGTGCCACCAGCTGAGCCTTTTCACAGCCCTGTGTTAATTGGCGGGCATTATATCGAAGTCTCCAATGACCTCTGGTGCTTTAAGGAGGTTCCGCAACAAGAGTCAGTGTGGGATTTTTCGGCGCAGTCATGGTGTAACAAAGGAACCTAATGCAGAAGAGGGGCCTTGAGTTTTGAGGGGTTAAAAGTTAAAAGTTTAAAGTTTAAACCACCACTGCACTGGGTACTGGAGGTGCTGCAGTGCACGCCAGGCTTTGCCGAACCGCCAGCTGGCGCTGGCAAGATTTCGGAGCCGTGAAAATTCTTGAGTGCGCCGAGTTGGCAACTTGCGATTTTCTACAAGGCTGGGGCCATGCACTGGTGGCGTAAGGCTATAAAGGTATTTGTTGTGCAACTGTTAATGAGATGTCAGAGTCGGAGTCTATTGACCCTTGCATGGGGGAGACAGTGCCAATGGCTAGAAATTCCCCAAACGCAGGTATAAAGGAATGTACTGGCGGCTTAAACCGCTAGCACACAGCCCCAGCCTTTCTGAAAGTTTTTTGTCTCCACAAGCAAAAACTCGGAGGCGCGGCATGGCCAGGCCCGCCGTTCAAAAGAAAAATCGGCGGCCTCTGAAGTAGTGCGGGTTTTATGCGGACACCCGCGGGCCGATATGTGGTGTACTGGTGCTTTAAAGGTATTTGTTTTGCAGCCGTTACTGAGGTGTCAGAGTCGGAGTCTATTGAGCCTTGCAAGGGAGACGGACGGACTTGCATGGGAGATGGTGCCAATGGCTAGAAATCCCCCAAACGCAGGTATAAAGGAATCCTGCGGTGTAGTCGTTAGTGACATCTGGCAAAATTGGAACGGTGCAGAGAAGATTATGATGGCCCCTGCACAAGGATGACCACACACACAAATGGAAAAATGGTATGAATTTCCAAAGGGAAAAAAGTTGAATAAATAGAACCCATTGGCCCTTATGTACAAGGCGAGCATTTATGGAATAGTCGTCTGACGGCTCTCAGGACATACTGACAGTTGAACTTCGTCGACTTCCCTGTGGACCTGATTGCAGTCAGGTGCATCCAGGCCTGGTCTGAATAGTTGTTATATGCATCCAAGAAAGTCCTAATGTGGGTATGCGTGTCCTCAGACATCTGTTAAAACAGGAATGACACCTAATACAATTAATATTTCAATTATATTTTGCTTAAACCACTAGTACCTTTGTCGGTTGAAAATACTCGGCCTCCGACCTTTCAGGAGGCCGAAACGAAACGACGGCCGGCGATCAGATTTATCAACGGAAGCCGTTGTCGGGCCCGGCCTCCTGAAAGTTCGGAGGTAGACCAAGACTTGTCGAAACAGGACGGCAAAGCCACAGAGAATGACATACACAATAAATTACAAGTCCTGTGGGATGCCGAATGCATACTCGCACGAGTACTTTCCTAAATGTATCTGACTGCAATTACGGCCAGACCTGGATGAATCTGACTGCAATCACGTCCAGAGCTTAGTGGGCAACGTCCTAGTGTGCGGAAGCCTTGAATTGCATGCTATGCATTTGAGGCATAGAAGGCAAATGGTTTTGTTTATCCTTGATAAAGTGTCTTGCTCCGCTACTATTGATTGACGTGTGCAAAATGATCTGTTTGTCGTGAATCTTTCCGTTATAACATGGAAAGATACACAGCCATTATTTTCGTCTTTTGTTCAGGGCGAGAGTAGTGGAGCAAGGCCCAAAGTGCCATGCTGGAGGGGCAGAAACCTAATAAACATCTGTTTGGCTGCTAGTCTGTTGCCGCAGTCCTGGCTGACTGTGAGGAGATTTTACTATTTTAGTCTTTTACCCATTACCTGCAAATGGTGTGGGAGCATCCAGAAGTCTAATGGACAGCGGGTCAATAGAGGAGTAGTGGGTGCGCAACAACTCGCCAAAAGGTTGTGGGTACAAAAGGGATGAACATATTGGGGGCGAACACCTTGGAAGAATCTGTAGAGGTCCCTCCCTATGAAACAGATGAAACCATCCGTACTTGTGACCCTTCCCTTGCCAGTGCCTGCAAATGCCCTGTGCAGCCAAAAGAAACCGAACCAGCACGGGCCTTCATTTGGCTGGTTAGTCCCGTCGGCCGTTTTGCGCCTGTAGGCCGACTCCCAAAACGTGAGGCCATGTGCACTCCGCGTCGGAGAAAAATGGCTGGTAGGCAAACATACTGGTGTAAGCTCTGGAGTAGTAGTCTGCCAAGGATGGGGTTCGCTAGATTTTCAAATTGTCGTATTGCGATGAGATCGAATGCTGTGAAGATATTTAATAAATTAGCTATCTACAATATTCTATATGTAGTTTATATTTGCTAAAAGGAAAATGCATGAGAGCGGTGATGGGTTGTTGGGGTGGGGGTCGGGCAATGTTGCTATCTTCTATACCTGTGTGGCTGGGTTGGCACCATCGCCAAAAATGCACAGAAGGGGTGTCTGTGGGCTCGAGTCGTCAAACGAGTCATCAATGGTGTTGTCTTTGATGGCAGTCTCTTGTCTACTGAAGCCAAGCTGCTCTGCTACAAATCGTTGAGCTCCCGAAATCACCTGCACGAGTTTTTAAATATTGTGGAGACAAGGGAGGGGAGCAATGTAAGAGAATAGTACACATGTTCTCAATTTGTGTGGATAGGCTACCAGCATTGTCAGGCACTAGTTGGTTGGCCAAGCGATCGGGTGTGGGCAGCGTGGACCCACCTGCCCCGATCTTCTCTGCAAACCAAAAATTGTTTTTTTATTTTTTTCCCTCTCCTCTGATGTTTCTATTCTTCCTCTTCCCTCTCTGATTTTCCCTCTCTGTTCTGACCTTCGCTTCATAGCTTATCCTCTTGGAAGCAGACTTTGCTCATGCGGCGTTCTGAAGATAAGCGTCAGTCCCGATGTCATGTCGTACTGATTGGCCCTTTTTCGTACTGATTGGCACTTGTAATCCGCTTCCAGCGGAGTTTGAACTCAGGTACGTATTTGAACAGTTCAGGAGGTTGTCTTCTGCGGTGTTGCAAAAAAGGGTGTTGCAAAAAAGTGTCTTCCAGCGGTTTACTTTCTGTATGACATGCGGCCCTCGTAAAATCATACTAAAATGACCTTTCATGTTTGTTAACTTTGTTTGTTTGTTGCTTGGATGAAAGGACTGCTGGTGGTTTTTTATTTTTTGGATGCAGTGATGGGTGGAAGTGGTGATGATGGACTCGGTGCGGAATGATTTGCTTTGTGTGTGTAACAGAAGAGACATCGAGGCGATTGTCGATTTGCGGTCTGGCATCCGGGCACAGTCGGAGTAGACGTTCGATAGCGCAGATAAGCAAAACAGCTTATTTATGTATGTTCGGCATGAAGCTTCGGTGTCATAACGAGGAAGGGTCTGAATTCGTGCATCGACATCCCGGCGGTGAGGGTGAGAAGGCAACGAAGGTTGGAAAGGCGTTTTGGACACACGTGTATGTACTGGTTTCGGGAGGCAGAACTTGTCGTTCCTGAGTTTGTGGCATATTCCCTGTGCGGTGTCCAGCCCTCCAAATTGATTGATTGATGTAATGAAAGCTTTGACGAGGCAACCAGCTTGTCAGTTGTTCTGCGATCGATTCCTGGCCGCCTTTTCAGGCTGCTCTGAGATGATCAGAGGAGCAATGGACGCTGTTCAGGTCAGGAAAGAGCACAATGTGCTATTGTATGTGACTGTGCATCGCAGATATGATGCTGGCAAGAGAGATTGAATGTCATTCATGATCCATACAGGAGGACAGGTTGTGGTGAGGGGGTGCTGAGGAGTGTTGTGTGCATATGAATGTTTGACTTGACGCGAAGCGTGTAGTTAACAAACAGCTCCGGGTTGATCGGGTCAGATCGGATCGGCCGGAGGGAAACCGCTCTTCTAGGTTCTTGGCTGGGGAGGAGGTGTAGGGAGGGGCAAGGAGGAGGTGTAGAGAGAGTATTGTTCAAGATGATTTGCAGGACGGGAAGTCGGTCACAGAGCTCGTTGGTAATGCCCACTGCAATGCAGGCAGATCAGCTAGATCTTGTCGATTATGCGACCAAGAGGAAGGAGGCCCTTGCGCGGGCGGAGGCTCTTCGCGAGCAGAAGAAGCATGAGTTGGAGCAGAGAGGTCTGCAAGTTAGGAAGTACAGCTGGGGAGGTGTTCCAACAGGCTTCCACAGTGTGAACCACACATGGAGTAGCCCAGAGGAAGATCCCCGCGTTCTTTTGGGAGAAGATAATCAGAGGTTGTCCCTCTCGCCGTCGGGGGGAAGAACGCCCAGGCAGCGCCGCAAACCCTTGCTCGATACAAATATTGATGGAGCCTCCCTGATGCCGAGGAGCCCGAGGAACAGAGAAAGCGAGCTGTCATCTCATTCCTCGGTTAATGAACAGGATGGGCTATCTGAATCGGGCGGCAAGGTACGTTGTTTGGCCTGTCAGTGCAAGCACTCCGCATCTGTGTCGTGTGACGCAAAGGCTACCTCCTCCTCCACACAAGACCATGCATTGTCGTCGCTCACACGGGCCAAGGCTGCTGCCCAAGCTGTGTCGGAGGAGACATCCCGCCGACTGTCTTCGGAAACAATCACATCCTCCCTCTCTGACGGCCCGTCGGCCACTTCCTTTCAATATTTGCCAGGTGGCGAAGGAGTCATGCCAAAATTGGATGTGATTCAAGCCGTTCGACCTTCCAATGCCATGCGCAAGCACGAGGCTCAGCCTGGTGATGATGCTCGGTCACTAATCACCAACGTAGAGCCTCTAGGTGAACATGTCAAAGGCAAGGGCTCACTAGAGATGACAGGCAGTTCTGCGAACACTACCTGCCAAGGCAGTGGCTCTGCAGTGCCACACAGTTCTCAAACCCGGGAGGTGAAAGGCGGCACCACAAAGAAGACGATTGCGAGAGCCTTGATGCCATCCTCTGCAGACGTTTATGGATCTCTTGCTGAAGACAAAGGCGCGACTGCCGCCCCAGAGGACCATTCATTGGCTGCAGGTAGCTTCGCCACTGTTGCGAACGATTGTGCTCGGAGTAACGGTGGGACTAGTGCGCACCAGAAGGAGATCAAGCGAAAGGGGGACAGTGGAAGTGTCGGGGGAGACAAGCAGAGGCGCCACAGTGAGGCAGCGAATCTTGATGGGCAACGTAGAAGGGACTCAACTGCTAAGAAGAGCACTGTGGAAGCCCTAAAGAAGGGTGTCGGCGTTCCAACGTTGGAGCATACATGGTCCCCTGCACCCGGCGGAATGCCGAATGGATCCAACGAGAGGGGGGTTCTGAGTAACGCTCAAGCAGAGAACGTCCTTGTTGAAGATCCAAGGAGTATGTCAAGCAAACCAGCGGAGAAGGTCAAACAGGATCGGTACCCTCCTGAGGCACTGATGACGACAGGGAGGGACTTTCAGAGAGGGAGGGAGGGTCTGCCTAAACAAGTGCCGAGGGAAGTGCCAGGGCGAAGGCACACCATCGCTGGAGCAGTGATTGGACATGGAAGCGAGAGGCAAATGGAGGACGCGTACGTGATGGAGAGAGTTCCAGACAACTTCCTGATGGGAGGGACGGCAAAGAATGTGGAAAGCGAGAACAACTGCAAGAAGAATGAGGAGGGAAGATCGCGACTCCCTGTGAGCATGGAGATGGCAATGCATGATGCGGGACACCTTTTGCCGCAGAGAATCCATGCAGATATTGTTGCCAAGCACCAAGGAAAAGAGGAGGGCATGCAATCTCATAAGAGAGTCGGGTCTGAGCTGACGAATGACCGACATGGGGGAGGGAAGCCTGGAGTGGAGGGTGGCGGCGCACCAGGTGGTCAAGGAGGGAGTGAGAGAGGAAGGTTGCTTGTGGACAAGGCGAAGGTGAGTGCATCGGAGGGGATGATGAAGGCAGGAATGGAGAAGTTCGATGTGAAGGGTCGTGGTAGTGCAACTGAGGGAGTCAGCGGGAGAAAGCTGCAGCCGGAGAAGGGTGATCCCGTCCGGAAGGGGGCGGCCGGTTCTGTCGGCGGAGGAAGTAATGATGAGGGTGCAAAGAAAGGCGGCAAGAAGCTGGAGCAGCCAAAGAAGCTTCAAGAGGCAGAAATGGAATCTAGAAAGCACCCGCAATCCGCAAAGACGGAGATTGTGAAGAAACCTGTTCTCAGCGAAGTGCTAGGGAAGAAAAGAGGTAGCAACGGACTCATTGCGGACGCGAGTCTGGAGAAGTTAGGGAATGGGCCAGCTGTGGCCTCAGGAGCAGCAGTGCCAGCTGTACAGCCCACTGACAAGAAGAAAGTCCTCCAATCCAGTGAGTCGCTCTTGGAAAAGAGAGGTAACAATGGCCTTGTTGGGCATGGGGGGGGTGTTGCAGATCGGCTGCGGAAAGGTATGGTCGTGGAAATGAGGAAAGAACCACATCAGGATGGAAGTCTTTCAAAGAAGAAAGGAAGTAGCAATGGTCTTCTGGTGGCGGAAGGGAATATAGAGAAAGCTGCTGAGATGAGGCCAGGCATGATGATTGATGAGTCTCACAGCAGAGAGACTTGTGATGGCATGGAGCCAAATGCCCGTCCCTTCGACAAGGATCATCCTGAGAACGAAAGAATTGGGAACGATTGCGGAGCAGAGAAGCAGTTCGATCCCTACGTAGAGGGAAGTAGTCTATGGGAATCGAGCATTAGTGTTGGTGTGTCGGGCGTTTCCGACAGTGCAGCACAGGAGAAAAACGAGGAAAAGAAGTCCAGACGGGCTTCCGTTGTGGGTAGAAGCGAGGGGAAGCGGGAGACGTCGAGGAAACACAACGCTGTAGCAAGGCACGGAATGAGCAAGGCGTCTTCTCTCCGGCAAGCATTTAAGACAAGCAGGAGAGACCCATATGAGGTGCAACCGCATCCCATTGTGGAGGAGCAACAGCAGCGCACAATTGTAGAGGAGCCGGCAAGTCCGCCGGAAGCTGAAAGTGTAGAGGAGACTGCCACGGTTGCGTCGTTTGCATTCGACGACGGTTCTCGCGGCGATAGTGCTGCCGTCGAGGGTCCGAAAAGTGAGGGCGCAGGCAGGGTTGAAGTGGAGAAGGGTCTTGGCAGTGACCAGCAGAGAACCGGAAAGAGGTCATCGACGGAGAAAGCGGTGGTAGTGAAGAGACTGGGGACAGAAGTGGCAGGGGAGCATGTGAAGTCTGGTTCAGTAGAGAGATCCACGCTTACCAACCGGGCAGTTGGTTCGGGGAAGCTGTCCCGCGTCAAGATGGGTCGTGTTTCTAACAAGTCGTCGTCCCAGCCTACGGCAGGTAGAGCAGGTGCCCGCGAAGCGGCCACGAAAGATGCTGCAGCAGCCCGTGTTCCGGGTCCGAAGCTCCCCAGTGCAGCGTCACAGAAGACCAAGGATACCTCACCTGCGGAGGAGGCCAACAACAGGTTGTCTGCTCCGGAGGGTACAAAGCACAACCACCACGGCAACAACAACGTGAAGAAGAGGGGTGACCTCACCAAGAAAGGTCATGACAACGCTCAAGGTCCTTCCACCACAACTGATCCAGGTAGGCCTTCTCCAGGGAAGGGTCAGCAACAACAGGACGGGAACGAAAACCCGATTTCTCGGCAACCTCTCGAGGACGAAGAATTGTTTGCGTGCACAGAATGTGGGAGGAAGTTCAATGGTCATGCACTTGCGAGACATGTGAAGTTTTGCCATTGGTCTTTGACATCTGCTGAGGTGCTGCCTGCAACAGGCGTGTGAAGGGGGAGAGCCGACTGCAGACTTGACTGATGAAAATGATGACGTCGTGGAATTAATTGGTGTGGTGAATGAACTGTTGGTGGCTCAAGGAGCAAACCAAAACCTGAAAATTGTGCGTGGCAAAGGAGAGGCTGTGTGGGTGCTAGACAAAATTGCTGTTTTATGAACTATACATATATGCTTGTGGTATTTGCGTCCAGGTTCGGCATTTTGTCGTTTGAAAGAGTTTGAAAGGATTTGACAACTCGCATCAAAGCTATACGACGAATGACAAGAGCTTGCAGGATCATCCTCCTCCTCCTCCTCCTCATCATCATCATCATCATCTTCATCTTCATCATCATCATCATCATCATCATCATCATCATTGTGTTGGGCACGCATGGGAGTAGACGACACACAGTATGTCGTCATTGGGCGCTCATGGTGTGACGATGTGGAACCAAAAAGCAACAATCCGAAATTCTCTGTGCTTTGGTGGGTGGTGGTGGTGGTGGGTGGTGGTGGTGGTGGGTGGTGGTGGTGGTGGGTGGTGGTGGTGGTGGGTGGTGAAACCTCAGAACCTGCTTTCAAGTATACGGTCGCGATCCGACGATAAGGATCGCAGCTGAGAGAGTGGCAGTGAATCCAACAGAAAATGAATTATTGTTGGGGGTGAAATTGGACTCTGCAGCCGCGACTCCATAGACGAACAATGACATGTGGCGATGGTTGTCTGTGCAGGTTTTCTGACACGACACTGACTCAACTGATACGTGAATGAACCGAACGATGATGTGGGACGATTGGGCTATTATCCTCATCCATGGTATCGGAAGGCTACCCTAGTCATATAGTTGTGGCGAGGACTTTGGGGAGTGAAGGGCACACCACAGGGAGGGAGGGAGGTTGCCCTTGCGTCCCAATTGCCGATCACCGTTCCGCTATTGGTCTCCAGTAATGCAGCAGAAATTAAGCCTTCATCGGCAGGCACGGAAGCCCAGTTTAAAAGCAGTCAGGCAGCGAAGGGGTGATCCTTCACGGTGTTTTGCTGCAACAGTACTCTGACAAGGGGTCCCGGCACCAACGAGTTGATGACTTGGTTCTCGTGAGACGGGTAGGTCACCAGCATCCATCCATATTCAACGACGCCACTATTTGTGTGTACAGGTGTCAGGGCCACCAACCCATATGCTGTCGTCCTTTTTGTGGGTGCTGAGAACTTGGCTGCGGCGCCAAGTTGCCCCAMCCCCCGCCGTTGCAATGCTCATATCTGTGGTTAAAGACTGGGTGCGGAAGCAGAGCTTCCACCTGCTGCTGCGCTGCCGGCTGCAATCGCTGCGCTAGCAATGAAGGCAGGCAGACTGGTTGCGATGTCCACGGTCACCCTTGGGTTATGGGTGAGTTGTTGCTGTCCATTTTGTGGTGGCGAGGGTGAACACTGAGTAGTTGAGTGTGGCACAAAGCGATGCAATGCTTCTTTGTGGAGAGGAAGCTGCGCGCGGGCGCACTTGAGCGGCAAACATTGTGGCAACATTTTCATGGGGGAGGCTGGGTGAAGAAGACTGGTTGGAAATGCCAGAAGGGGCGCGCGGAACTGGCTTTTCGGTTATGGGCTAACTGTTTTTTTCATGGCGACGGAGGCCTGGGTTCAAATCCCGGAGCTGTCGAATAAGGTGGGTGGGATGGTAATTGGGTAGTGGAGAAGATGGCCAGGCATCGTGCACGTAGCTGGATTTTTGGCACAAGGCGCAAAAAACATAGAGGGGGAGCAACGCCGTCAATAACGCCTTTCCTATTTTAGCAAGCGGGCAAGGCAAGGTTGGTAGTGGCCATGGGAGTTTGGGCTGTGATCAGATCAGCACCTGCATCTGACTGTATTCCTGGAGGGACCTAGCCTTGGCAGTGCCCGGCGCCATTTACGGGAATTCGTTTGCCGGTGTAACACCTAGCCTTGTAAATTCTGTTCGTTGGCGTTCTCGTGATGTTCTGTGCTTGCACAAGCTCGCGTCGCTTCTTTGCCGTGCAGGGTGGCGTGACGTTCGAGCCCTAGTTCTCCTGTCAGTGCCCTCTCCAGGGTGTTGTCTGTCCGTCATAGGACCTGGGCACACCGCATGCTATTCCGACCACAGCCAGCAGTTTGGTTCTCTCGAAGGTGGCGAAGGTTCACGGCAAAGTAGAACAGAATAGCATGCAGTGTGTCGGGACCTCTTTATTCGTATGTCTGAAGTGGGTGGGGTAGTATGTACGAAAGTAGCTAGCAAGAAATGTATCGCATGGTCGGCATTCTCTTTTTGTGGGGTAAATGTGGCCTTGTTGAAAAGGTGGGGCTGGGTTGGTTGTAGAGTTGTTTTTGGTGCTTATTTCTTGCGTGAGGGGTTGCAACGACTGGCAAGCCTTTTCGTTCCGTCATTGCTATTATAACTTTTTTTCATTGCATGTCACTCACTGTTGGGGTTCCCACTGCGCTGCTTCTGTGTGTGCTGATGCTAAGGGACCGGTTTTGTGGTTCCATCTTCCCAAGGGGAGTGGCACAGTGCCACATCACACATTTGTGGAATCATTGCCCAGTAGAAACAGGATATATACATAAAGATGTAATAAGCAAATACCCGCGCATTCTTTTTGTGCAGATATTTGCCGCTTATTTGTACTTTCGGTCTTTCTTCTTTTCTCTTGATTTGCGCCATTGCGTTCTTTCCGGTGATATGTTTGCTTTCCATTTATTCTATCTATGAAGTTTTTTGCGATTCGTATTTCGAAGCATCCACTTGTGTGTGGTTGGTGTTGCGCTGCCTGACCCCGCCCCTATTCCTAGCATGTTTGTCTCGGTGTCGTCGCAAAGTCCTTGGAATCGTATCTGTTTGGTGTCGCACTGCCTGACAAGGAGTCGGTGGAAATGTGGTTGTCCTTCTTCCTAGCATGTTTATCGTAACGAGTTCTATATCAGGGACGGAGGTGTTGCGCATAACAGTGGGGAGAGAGGGTGGTTGGACACTGCAGCAGCGATGCTGCAGGTGCTTCTGTTCTTTGAAAAGCCCTACTGCCCTACTGGTTGCCAGAGGAGCGTGGAAGGAGCAGCCGTACCTCGCAGCCGTCTGGTTGCTCCCGATCTATTGCTGGGGAGTTGCGCCTGCCGGAAAACGGGTCCAGCGTCCCTTGCATAACATCTCGGCCTGATCTGGTAGTGATCTGAAATCTGCCAGCGCTAATTGCCCTACAGGGCCAGGGGATTGACTGAGCAGGCGTAAACTATAGGGGTCTATTCTTCTGATCATTTCCTCAGTTTGCGGTTCTGGGATGCGGAATGGGAGACCGGGTGGAGCAGGAACTATAGGGGTGGATGGATGGATGGATGGATGTCAAGGGGTGACTAATTGTTGTGTGCAATCATTGGGAGGCAGTTAAACCACTACCATCTTCACCCGAATAGAACGCCTGGTCATTATAGCTGCATTTGGCCCAACTTTCAGTCCAGATGCAGCGATAATGACCGGGAGTTCTATTCGGGTGAAGACGGTAGGTACTTGCTCAAGTCGTGCTGCCCGTTAACAAGCCACGATTAAAGGGAAATGTACGGGTCACTATAGGAGGGCCCAAATTCATTCGACTAGAAAAACATTTTTACTCTGTTTTATTCCACGGCCGATAGCTCGGCCAAGTACTGGTGGTGGTTTAAACATTCGATCGTTGAATGAATTGCGTTTCAGGCCCCCTTCTGCTACTTCCCGGACGGGGAATATAAAACAAACGGACCTCTTGTACTGTTGTCGGAGCTGGTTTTACTCCACCTTGACTATTTGTTCACCCTGCCCGCTATGGGTGGGAATCTGGCCTCTACAACAACCTGGGTTTTCCCCCCCAAAAAAGAAAAAAAAAATCTGGCCTCTACAACAACCTAGGTATTTCCCAAAAGTCTACCTCCGTTTGGCCTGCTCTTATCAGCCTAGCTTAGACCCCCCGGGTGTTTAAAAACAAAAACGAACAAACGAACAAACAAACAAACAAAGTTAACAAACCAACAAACGAACAAACCAACGAACAAAAGAAGCCTTCCTTCATTTGGAAAATGCACTTGGACCAAATCGGAAAGTAAGTTGCACGGGTGCCGAGTTTACTTCTGCGTCAGCTTTGCCACTGTTTGTGAGAGAATCCATCACAAAGTAAGCGTGTATGGATATGGATATGGAACCAATGAAAACCACTGAACGCACATGCTTGCCGGTGGTACCAAAGTAAGCAACTGGAGCAACGGCCCCCACAATAGATGGGGCTTCTCTTGTGTGGGGAAAAAAAACTTTAAAAAGAAGAAGAAGAAGAAGAAGAAGAAGAAAAGAAAAAAGCAATAGACCAGTGACTACCCTTCTCCTGTCGATGGAATAAGAAAAAAAAAGAAAAAAAAAAGAAAAGAAAAGCAATGAACGCTCTGAACGGGCCTCGATCAGTCGGTACACCTCCTCCGAACTCAGTCTGTCGAAATACAGACCCAAGTTTGAAGCCAGTTACGATCAGATCAGCGAAATGAAAAGCCTGGTTAGCTAGGTACAGCTCTTTTTATACTGTCTGTAGCTGACCCAGGTCTCACATATGTGCCCTAGGTGGTACATAGGTTTTCTTTTTTTTTTTCCTGCCTGGATCACTACGCAGTGATAGTGGTATGGTACCTATCCCATGTGGCCGAATGCGTTCAGACCTGCGTCAGATGTGTTCAGACCTGCGTCAAATGCGTTCTGCCTGCTTGTAAAGTAAGCAGACCTGCGTCAAATGCGTTCTAAAAGCTCAGCCGCCTTGAGATATCATCTTTGAACTGACCAACCCCAGGTTAGTTTCTGAGCCAAACCTTGTAGGGCAACCAATGCGCCTGTGTCGCAGTTGGTACAAACCTTGTACTGTCTGTCCTAATCACTGTCCAAGTCTGTGTTGCACAGACAGAGCATCAAGTGGACCTCTTGGAACCGACTTCATAGTAATTAGCGCAACCAATGGGTCTGTCTCAGTTTGTACACCCACGGACTGTTGAAGTACATCTACAAGCGCGAATTCCTATGCGGTCAGATGAAATCATGAAACTGAATAAAATAATTGTGAATTATGTGGGGCTGGTCGGTTCAACGATATGCTATGATCCTGGTTAGCTCTCAGCTGCAACACGAAAGAAAAGAGTTTCTTTTGGAAGAAGAATTGAGACAAGGGGTGAAAAAGACTGAAGAATTGAAGAAGAAGAAGAAGAAGAAGAAGAAGAAGAATCGAAGGAAGAAGAAGAAGAAGAAGAAGAAGAAGAAGAAGAAGAAGAATTGAAGGAAGAAGAAGAAGAAGAATTGAAGGAAGAAGAAGAAGAAGAAGAAGAAGAAGAAGACACATGGAGAGACCAAGGTCATGTGCCCCTCATCTCTCCCTGCCAACGTCTTATGATCAATACTAAGAAACAACAATGATAGAAAGAGCTGGAATCTGTCTGATTACTCATCCTTACTGTGAGCGCATGTAATTGCCATAGTCCTTTCATCTCTCTCGTCTCCACTTAGTGGAATTCCTAGCTATGGTGGATCATCCATGTGCGTCACGGATATTCAAAGGACGACTTAACTTTATTATGCCACTCCCATTTGTACCTGCCATAGCCACACTGTGCGATGAAGTCTCAGCTCACCAGGTACCCACTCGGGGGACTTCTGGATGAAGCACCAACCGAGGGAGTGAAGACGAAGGTCCGCCATAGCCAACGGTGAGTCTCCTTCCTGGTCCCCACCTCCTTCTTCCTCCTCCTCACCTCACCTCCACAGCCAATGCCTCTCTCTACCACCTCCCCACTAGTCTTCCATAGCAATGGAGGTCTTCCTTATCACCCTCCACGTCTACCTTCCCCTCCCAAGTGCTCTGCCAACGCTCCCCCTCTGGGTGGAGCAGCATAATGCGCACTTCAAAAATCAGCTTTTGTCCAGCCCAACTCATCGGGGGCCTATTGATATTCTTTGCCTGCCCGGCCTCCAGTACCCCTGCTGGTCGGGCACTTCCCAGCAGTACCCAGCACTAGCCAGTGTTCCTGCTTTTGGCGGGAACATCATTTCAGCCTTGGGTGCTCTAGGACTACCCAGTGTTCCTGCTTTTGGCGGGAACATCATTTCAGCCTGCCACTTGGGCTCAGGGCCTGTATCTTAGCATACCACCCTACTACCTACCATCTTGGCCCAAAAAGAATGCCTGGTCATTATAATAGCTGTATTTGGGCTCAGGGCCTGAACGTATTTGGTGCAACTTTCAGTCCACATTAGCATGCGTCCGATGGTAGTTACGGGCCTGAGCACTCGGTGACTATTTTTGGCCGCTCGCTATATTGGGCTACCCATGAAGCCGTACCCATTCCCAGGGTCTATCTATCCTAGTTGCTGGGAAATCCTACGGCATCGCTGGCTAATTTAACTTTTGCCCCTTGAAAGCGCTACGACTACCCCTCGGTAGAACCTGCCGCTCATTCTCGTCCTGCCTCGGGCCATTTCTCTACTCCTACCTTGTCCCTGTCCAACGCACAGCGACACTCACAGAGAGCCAACAGAGTCAGTCAGAACACGGGCCCAGACTCGGGCCCAGGCAGGCACACGACACACGACAGATGGCCTACGTTTGTACCAGGTCCCGCACACACACACACACAGAAAGGACAGCGAATACCAGCTGGCCTAGCTCAGCCGGCACACCTACGTCCCGCACACACACACACACTTAGAAAGGACAGCGGATACCAGCTGGCCTAGCTCTGTGTGGAAACGCAGACCTGAGTTGGAATTCCTGTGGAAGCTGACGAGTGAAACACCTCTGGGGCTGGTCCGTTCAATGACGATATGACGTCGATATCTCAAGGCCATCGCGCTGTTTTTGGAAAAATGAAAATAAAAATAAAAATCACAGAAAATGGCCCATAAGGATGTTTTTTATTAAAAAAAACAGAAAATCGCAGCAGAAAAGATGCAGATTTGGAACTCCTAATTCGGCGGAGATGTCGGAATTGCTGCACTTTGTGCCTGGAGGCCCGCAAGAGTCAGTGAAGAACAAAATAGGTCCTGTGCTATCACGAAGGGTCGAAGAGAAAGCACTTGGTTGAAACTTGAAACAGTATTTTCTCAGCCAACTTCAGCAGAATCGGAGACAAGTGGCACGGCGGTCAGGTGAAACCGGTAGGGTCGTATCTCCGAAGCGGATTTTTCCGGTACATAGCTGTGTCGTATGTGATTGTTATATTGTTAACAGTAGTCACGTGCAGGTTTTTCGAAAACTATATGTCTTGGATCTGTCTTGTCAGTCTGTTCATGGGCTACCAGAGGTCCAGAGTGGCCTGGGTTTTTTTGCTGGCTTGTTGCTGTTTTGCTGGCTTGTTTGTGATGGGGTGTGAACCGACAGACAGTCTGTAGAGTTCTTTCCATCTCGTGTGGGTGAGTGATAGTCTGCTTTGATTTTTTTTTTTCGTCACAGGTACCCTGAGGGCTGCAGTGGTTGGTGGTGGTCCCCACCACCTCCTCAGAGGGGTATCATCAGTTGCCGGGCAGTCGTTGATGGACTTAACCACAACCGACCGGGGTTAAGGTGCATATTGCCAGTAAGCGAGCCTTGGCCCTTTTTCTTTGCAATCTCACAGCACATACATAGAGACATCTTATCAGCAAAGCGCATACATAGAGACATCGTATCAGCAAAGCACATACATAGTATAAGTGGGGCCTGGCCGCAGATCTATGTACAGGCCGGCAAAAGGCCGGCAAATCAGGAAGT